CCTTCTCCGGTATATAAGCGGTGCGCTATAGCATTTTCTCACGAACAGATTAGAACCTAAAATGCTCAGGAACTAATACGATAACAATTGGCGAGAATTAATAGATCACCTATAGTGACAGAGAATCTTTCAAAATCAAATGCATATGCGATTGAAACCTTTCAATGAGCAAAGATCAAAAAAATTGCTCACTCGATTAAAATAAGGTTCCTAGAACATTTTTAATGTAACAGCTCGCTAGTTAGAAAAAATGTTTCACACTTCTGCCTCTTACCTGCATATACATATCGTAGGCATTTCAGGAAGAATCAATCCTGGAGATGCGGCAACAGTTTGCGTATGATTGCAAAACATAGAATTCCAATCAGGAAGACAAGAACATGGAGAGTTAAACGTTGCTCCTCGACGTAAATATGGATCAACGACGCGAGGAGGAAACATATCTGAAAGAGCCTTTAAACTCCAAATCCATCATTTTTCAAAAAAAGAAGTCTATTACCAGAACTGCAGTGAAATCGTTCGCATACTGCTCCACGGCATAGATTTGTCGTTACAGTCGAAACCACAGTTAATAGCGATAGAAATAGATTAGAAGCGCTTAAGGGAAGTCGAAAGCTCACATTCATGTCAGCTCAGGCACGATCAATTTTTTGAGATAGTGACATTTAGACGACTCACTTTTAAAAGCTGTAAGTACTGTATAAAGGATAACATTGCCACATATAAATAGCTTCAGACGATTGGTTATAGAAAAACTGCGATACGGATTTAGTTTGGATGGAGAAACTTTCGCTTCAAATGGTACAATTCAGTAGGATTTAAAGAACTCAGTAAAGTTTTGCAGACTCACCAGTATCAAAGTTAGATATTCGTTCTCATCAAACAGTGAATTGCCTGCATTAGTGAAATGTGATAGCTTGGGTACTCAGGTTGAAAAAAGATGAAGCATTACGACTACCATTATTGAAATGATTAGATGAACATTTGGATAAGTTTAGATCAACTTCAGATTCAACTGCTCCGTTAAGTGGACATTAGTAATGTCAATTGTCTTATTATAATATAAAAGTAAATAATATTCAGCTACATACGATTATGGTGTTTCCGGGAAATCACGACCTTATAATACATATAAATGTTTGGGAACTTTTCTCCAAACTTCTTTCTTTGCCTTACGATCATCATCGACTTCAAAGGAAACATGGTCCGTAGAAGAAAAATATAAACAAGAAGACAATACAAAATACAATACAAAAACTAGAAGAAAAAGAATAAGAACGGAGATGTTGAGTGTTATGAAGTGAACTGAGGTCTACACAATCACTAGCGGCATCCATACGAGAAAAAAAGCTAATGTTCTATAATAAAATAAATTTCCAAAAATATCATAATATAATAGTTTACTGACCAAAGAGTTGGATTTTTGAGTTTCTATAGAGGTTCCTATAGCTTTGAAAGATGTTATACTTAAGCCAAAAATAATTTTCCACACGTCCGCTACGTCTCAGGCCATTTACCA